CTTTGGGACACCCGAATAGCGTTCTCATCCTATTTTCATAGGGCCCAGGTCTCTGAGGCATATGTTAATGCAGGAAGAACAGTGGAATCAAAAAGATGTGCCCGGAGTCGGAAGTTCTTCACCCTCTTAACAACCTCCTTGACGCTCTTGAAGACATTCCATGCTGCTCTCTTTCTCCTGGGCAGCTCAGGTGCCAGGTTGTTCATCATGTTGAGTTCTCGACATAGGTACACATAACTGCTGCATTCGGAGACGTTCGTTCCATTGAGAGCAAATGGAACACCAGAAACTAGTTCGTATCTTCGTGAGATTCAGCTCCAGTCTGACCTTTCCACACTCACAGTCGAAGTCGACCAGCATTCATGACGCTTGGCTGATAGTTGGTGTTATTAGAATGCCTGGCAGCCCACCTATGAGATGGTCTGACTTCTTTGTCAAGACCCTGAATGAACGTTCGGTTTGAGGCTCTTTGTGTTCCTGGAGCGAGCAGATGCCATTGGGCTATACTAGCACGCGACAGGGACAAATGAAGACGTTACTGGCGTCTGCTCGAGCAAATCGATGAGCAACAGGATGACAAGTGATACAAGTGATGATTCTGGATGTACATTCAATTGGTTTGTTGAGGGATAACATTTTCACATTAATACTAAATACAAGTACTTAGCTGTACTGGAGCGATAGCACAGTGGGTAGGGTGTTTTCCTTGCATGCGGCCAACCCATGTTTGATTCCTCCATCCCTCTCGGAGAGCCCGGCAAGCTACCAAGAGTATCCTGCCCGCACGGCAGAGCCTAGCAAGCTCCCCGTGGCGTATTCAATATGCCAAAAACAGTAACAAGTCTCACAATGGAGACATTACTGGTTTTCACTTGAGCAAATCAATGAACAACGGGAGGACAGTGCTACAGTTCTACAAGGACTTGTATTTCAATACATCCAAAAATGGAAGCAAAGTTTTGATGGAATGTAACCTCCGGGTTAAAGAAAATTGATTGGCTTCTGAGGGAGATAAAATGAGATCTAATTGGAAACAGTTTAGTAACAGTCTCTGTTTATAAACACTTAATTTAGAGGGATGCTGGCCCAGGGAATTTATCCTTCAGGTTCTCTGCCAAACACATTTTTTGGTGAAAAGACATACTTGCTTTAAATGAACAAGTCAAGAGCTTGTACTTTGACCTTGTATCACTCCCAATTTATTACCTAGGGATCGCTCCCAGTCAGGGGACCTTGCTGTTCTGGAGAACCAAACCCAGACTCTCCTGAGCTCAGCCCGTTGAGCAGTCTCTTCTACCCCGAAGGTCATGTGCTTTGAGACCTCAGCTCTCCTTGTCCCTTCTCACTACCCCCTGTCTGAAGGGGACCCAATCTTGGAAGCTAGGTTTCTTCTCTGGGGCCTGACACTCACACATCTGATCCTACTTAGATACCAACTGAACTTGAGTCAAATTTTCCATCTTGAAGTGAAAATAACTTAGCAGTTATGGAAAGTCCTTAACTTTCAAGTGTGACTCTCTCCTCCCTCCCTCTCCTCCTTTCCTTCTCATTATTGCTGTTGTGGGCAGGGGCGGAGGTGGCACACTGGGTATGATGTGCTGGAGATCATATACTTGCCGACAGCGGTGTAGTCTGGATTGCGTTTGGCCCAGGGGGGCTGGTACCGGGAATGGAGTTCAATGGCCTCCTGCCTGCCACTGAGCCACCCCCTACCTGGATTTAGTGAGTTCAACAAGGTTCATTTCATTAAGATCATCTTGCTCAAATATAATGCCCAAAAGTAGAGAGAGAGAGTATCTGAGAAATTGTCTGCCATGGAGGCAGGGTGAGGACTGGGATGGGGGTAGCGGATGTACTGGGGATACTGGGTGGTAGAAAGTTTGCACTGGTGGAAGGATGGGTGTTCGATCATTGTATGGCTGAATCTCAAACATGAAAGCTTTGTAATTGTACCTCACGGTGGTTCAATTAAAAAAATAATCATCTTGCTCCTGAAAGACAAGCTCGGGGAGTTTAATCGAGGAGTGAAGGAGAGGAAAGTCGAGGAAAAAGGAAGATTTTTTAAAAAAATGTATTAAGCTGGTAAGTCAAATTATTCAAAAAGATGGAGACTATACTCGATCATAACTAGACTATAACTAGAATTCCTGGCAACCCAGGTTGGACAATATGGACCCATCCCGGCACTAGCCGATTTGGCGTGCAATGGTCACCTGACCCGGGCCAGGCTGGTCCAATGAGCTGTTCTCCTTGGAGACTGGCCTAGAGACCAATTAGGGCCCAACAGGGGAGCTTCCTGTGAGGTCACATGTGTCTGCAACATAGGGAAGGCCAGGCTGTCATGGAACAGGTTCCGGTGTTTGTCACTGTAAGGTTAATTACTGAAGAGACAAGGGTTGATGTGAGGGAAATAGGTTTATCCAGGTGCTAGCAGCCCAACAGGATGGGGTCAGGCTGCTTGAGAGATACTGGAGGAAAATGATGAGTAGTGAGAAGGGGGTGTGGAGGACCAGGTGAGCTACGGGTCAGGGATCCTCTCAGAGGATCTGCAGAGTAGCCTCATTCCCCACAACCAGAGCTGGCTCGAATATGAAACACACAGAGCAGGAGGACCCCCTTTTAAGCCTGAGGGCCAGGCAAGAGTCAAAGGGAGAAAAGTCAAAGGGTCACAAGGTTTTATTTTTGGTGAGAAGCTAGAAGGAAAAACCTGGCTAGGAGCAAGAGGGAGTCTCTGATGCTCTCTTATAAGGCCTTGATGAGAGAAGAGCTCTGGCCCCTCAAGAGAACTCTTCCCGGGTTCCCAGGGGTCCTCCAGGCCTTGTTAGGGAGCTATTCCTGCCATCCGGACTCTAAGACTATAGGGATCCCCTGGTCCTCATCACCCATTCCCCAGGGGATTCATGTTACCTGCGGAGAAAAGAAGTTCAGCCAATTCAGACCAGGGGCCCCAGGTGGGGGCGGGGGCAGGGGATTAAAGGGAGCGCCTTTGTTTATTCCTCCAGGGGAAGGAACCAGATTTCCCCCCCCCTCCCAGTACATATAAACTGATCAGTGGCCTGCTTGTTCCGGGGTAGCTGACACATTTTTTTTCAGCCCCCACCCTACAGCTGCATTTTGGGTTCAAAAGACTTTTGTGGCTAGCCTGGGAAGCAGATCACCAGTTACAACATTGTTTCTATGGGAGACACATTCCAAGATCCAAACAATGAATTTAGTAAAGAATGTTGGCTTCCAGGAGGATGAGCCTAACCCTGGAGGCTGGCTACCAGTTAACCATTTAGGCTTCCTCTCCCCCCCCTTCTCCTCTTTGGCCTGGGGACCCACTCAGCAGTTGGGGGTTGGGGGGTGGGGGAGATTCTGACAAGGAGAGACCAGAGGGGGACAACAGCTGGGCGGGCTGCAGCTTCCAGGCCTGGGAGCCCTCGAGGTGGAGGAGTGGATCAGAAGCGGGAGATGAGAGGTGGACAAAGAATCTTGGCCTCCTTGGCATGGCTGTCACGTCCTGTCGGCCCCGGACGCCAAGTCCAGTCCCCCGGCCTCTGCTCTGCGCAAATCCTATTTGGAATAAGCCGATGCTTTCGGAGAATTAAAAAAAAAAAAAACAGCAAAACAAAACAAAAAAAAGCCAAACCACCAACGATTTCCCACCTCCTCTGCCTGGGAAATTTGGGGTGCTCGAGGTGGGCTCCCAGGAAGGAGGGTGCAGAATGACTGGTGACTGTTCCCAGGGAGTGACAGCGCGCAGGACGACACGCCACCCTTTTGGAGAGGGCAGCTGCCACCCGGGTGAGGGGGACCTGCTCCCCGCTCTTTCCACCCCAGCACTCCCACTCGCCCCAGCCGGAGGAGGTGCCGGCACTGGCAGGAGGGCCCCCCCCCACCACCCCGCTTTGTCTGGGAGGGAGGGGAGAGGCTCCGCCCCCGGGGGGAGGGGATGGGGGAGGGAGGGGAGGAAGAAAGGCGAGGGGCGAGGTGTGGGGGGGCGAGATGGAGAGGAAGACCGGAGAGAGGAGCGTCAGGCCGGGTAGGGGCTGCTAGAGACCCGGGAGGGGGGGCGTGGGGGAGAGCCCGAGGGGGCGCGAGGAGGGCGGGGCGCCCGTCCCCCCAACCCCCCCCTCCCCCGCCACCAGCGCGTGGCCGCTGCCGGCCCAGCATCGCTGGATGTGACTCCGCAGCGCCCGCACGCTGCCGCCCTGCCCTGTCGGAGCCCACCGTGCCGGGCGGGTTCGTGCGGGTGCAGCGGGCTCAGGGGCAGGCTGGGCGCGGGGCGCGGGGGGCGGGCGATGCCCTCGCCTCTGCCCTCGGCAGCCGCGCTGAAAGTTTTCTGCACAGTGTCCCCCTGCCTGGCCCGGGCCAGCCTCCCAGTTGTCGGCCGTCTCCTGGGCGGGCCGCTCGCCCCCCGCGCAGAGGGGTTCAAACCGGGGGCGAAGAGGCGCGCGACCCGGACCCTGTTGTCGCCTTCGGGCTGGACAAAGTTGAGGTTCCACCCCCCGCTCGTCCTTCCTTCCCGCCACTGGGGGGTCCTGCCTGTTCTCCGTGCCCGGGGCGGCTTGGACAGGCGCGCGCACCCCCCCCCCCCGGGGGTTGGGGGGCTCCGGGTGCCCTGGAGAGGTGCGCGGCGGCAGGTGCAGGAGGGTAGGGACATCACGGCCCGGGGAGCTCCCGACCCCAGCCCATCCCCTCTGTCCCCTGTCCCGCCGACCCACGCTTCCCGGGAGGCGGGGTTCTGCCCTGGGCGCTGGGGGACGGCGAGGCCCGAGACCCGGAGAGGGGTTGGGGGGGGGGGCCTCCTTGGCTAACCCGAGGCGCGCGGGTGCTTTGGGGTGCTTGAGCCTCCTGTCGGTTCCCCAGGCCGGCGCCTGCTGTCGTTAGGGACCCGGGGCTTAGCGTCCTCCAACCCGGGAGAGGGCAGGTGGCTGGGCGGGGCGGCCACTTCTGCCACTTCTGCATTTTGAGCGGCTGCATTTTGCACGCAGCTGAAAGCCGGGGCCGCTCTGGGGACGGGGAGCAGCTGGGGAGGGCGGGCGGCCCCTTATCCTGGGCTTCCACGCCCTTTGTTCCCAGGTGTCTGGCACCCGGAGCCCTAGAACCACCGGGGATAGAGGCGGCTCAGTGCACCGGCCAGCCCGGAGGACCGTAAGTCGTAAGTACCAGCGCGGGCTGCAGGAATGGACGCTTCAATGAGCTGAGAGCAAACAGCAACTTGTCCCCGGCCGGCTCCGTTCCTGCCACGGTCGGGTCCGTCTTGCGACTAGGGGAGGAAAGAATGAGAAACAATGATTCTTTCAGAAAGCTACAAAGCAGAGTCTGGGCTTTCTGTCCAGCACCTCTGCACGAGGACTCTGGATTGGCTGCTCTACTCATCCGTGCGCGTTTACTTAATTTACTTAGTGGGAACTTGAGCAGGTCAGGTGGGCTAAAGAATCCAAGAAACTTCCGTGGCTGAGATAGACTAGGCTGCCTGAGAAGGGCTTCCTTCCTTCCTTCCTTCCTTCCTTCCTTCCTTCCTTCCTTCCTTCCTTCCTTCTTTCCTTCCTTCCTTCCTTCCTTCCTTCCTTCATTCCCTCCCTCCCTCCCTCTCTCCCTCCTTCTCTCTCTCTCCCTCCTTCTCTCTCTTTCTTTCTTTCTTTCTTTCTTTCTTTCTTTCTTTCTTTCTTTCTTTCTTCCTTTTCTTCCTTTCTTCCTCTCCATCTCTCTCCTTCTCCCCTCCCCCCTCCCTTTCCTTCCTTCCTTCCTAAATAGTGTCCGAGGGACTAAGTGTTGCTTTCGGTCTGGGCCCAGAGGTTCTATGTAGCCTAGCGTGTGGGTCCCAGTGGTCAGCCGATTCCTGGGAGCGGAGACTGCCCAGTGGGCCTCAGAGAGACAGAAGAGGCGGGCTGCCGAGGACTGAGCTTGGAGAAAGGGAGCGATTTGGACAGAATGTTGTTCTGGCCCTGGGAGGGGATGGAGGTCGGCACCCTGAGGCCTCTGGGCTCCACAGACCGGGGCTTGATTGGAAAGTCTGGAAGGTGGACCCTGTGCAGAAGACGGGAGAGCAGAGCCAGTACCGGGGAGACTGGATCATCTTTGGGGTGCAGCGTAGACACAGCCCATGCTGCTCTACCTTCGTTTGTATGCTGTTGGAATATGGTTGATAAGGGCCACCTCGGGGGGAGCCCAGCATAGATGAGACCGGGGACCTGGGCTCCCCAGGTGTGACCTCTGCCAGGGCCAGGGAAGGGTGCCTCATGCACCTGCGGAATGGGTGCAACCTGGCTGCGCCCCCTTTTGAAAGACATCTCATTCTGACCTGGGGCGCTAGAACCCAACTTTCTGTATCTGCTTATTTCTGATTTTGGTGGTTTTTTTTTTTTGGGAGGGGGCTCTTTTGTCTGTGTTTTCTGAGGAGTTGGTGACAGATGACCCCATTCCTTATTTCCTGATTCTCCCATTGGGTTCCTTCTCAGCTTTGCTCTCACCTCTGGGTCTGTTTCCCGGTGCCCCAGAACCCAGCCCCGTGCCTGCCTTCATGCGTGAGCTGTTTACGAATGATGAGTGTGGGCTGGAGAGGCGCCCAGGATGTCTTGGCACCTCCGCCGGGGTGCCAAGAAGTAGGTTGCTGAAGTTGCCAGACCAGGGGGCCTGGCACCAAGACACAAAGGAACCGCCGCCTGCTGGACGCCTTCAGCCGGCTCCTTGGGCAAGCCGTGTCCTCGCTGGGCAGTGGGGTGTCGATGCGCAGACTGCCCGAGCACCCCTGGGAGAAGCTGGATGATACAGTGGGAGAGTGGCATCCCGAGAGCACCCCTGGTGTGCAACATCTCCTTCCTTCTGCCCATAGTGAGGTGGTGGGCAGGTCCCAGCCGTCCTCCCGGAAGGGAGCAAGCCGTGCAGCCGGTCTTGAGATGGAGATGCCCATGTCCTGTCCTCTCCTGCCCTCCCACTCCACACTCCTTATGGTCACACTAGTTATTTACCCGACAGCAGGGTCCTGGTTAAACGCCTCCCTGCCTCCTCAGAATATAACTCCTCCAGCCGGGGGAGCTCCCCGGTGATTACTGGTTCCTTGTGGCCATGGAGGAGGGGGGCCAGAGCCGCAACTGGAGGCTCAGTAAACAGGGCCTCGCCCCCAGCCTGGGCTCTCGGTGCCAGGGGGTCATTCTGACCATCCAGGGGATGGTAGGCTAGTCTGAAAACACAGGCTGTGCAGCTGCCGGGGCTGATAGCTCCAGGTGGTAGGAAACTCCTGCCCTGGGCAGCAGGGCTGAACCAGGAAGGGGGAGGAGAGGGTTGGCAGGGCCTCTGGCTAATTCCCACAGGATGAGCAGCGAGAGCTGGAAGGACTTATCCTGTTCCTTCCATTGGTAACATTTTTCTGGGGTTGGGGACATAGCCGCTGTGCTCAAGGGTTACATGCAGGAATAGTTCCTAGCAGGGCTCTATGAGATGCGGGCATCAACCCCGATCTCAGTTTTTCAGCTCTGTGGTACTGGGTGATGTAGCAAGGCAGGTGGTGTCTTTCCCACAGTCCCCGGTCTCAGCCGTGACTTCCTGCCCTCCTACAGCCAGTGCTGTAGCTCCAGATCCCAGTGGTAACTTGTGCCCTTCCCTGGTGGTCTTTCCTTCCCCACTTCCCTTCCCACTCCCCTTCTGCTTGCGCTTGAAGTAGGTTTAGAGTCAACTTCTGGGGGAAGCCAAGCAGAAAGGTTTCAGTCTAGAGTTAAAAAGTCACCTCAAGGGACTGGAGTGATAGTACTGCAAGCAGGGTGTGAGTGATGTTCAGTGGGTAGGGCATTTGCCTTGCACGTGGTTCACCTGGGTTACATCCTCGGCATGCCTTTTGGTCCTCCGAGCACTGCCAGGAGTGATGCCTGAGTGCAGAGCCAGGAGTCACTCCTGAGCATTTCTGGGTGTGGGCCAAAACCAAGAATAAACACAAAGTCCCCTAAAGACTTGGCTCCCAGTTTCCTCGGAGGGAGGGGGAAATGAGAATGACCTCACAGGGTTATTGTGATTGGTGTTGAGGCAGGGTCTTTGCAAGCACTCGCTCGGGATTAACACAGAAGCGACAGGGCTGGGTTTGGGATTGACCGTGGGAATTAGAAGACTTTGGAGGAAGCAGCTGTCCTTACATTTAGAAGGGACTCAGTAGTGGTGTGTTTACACAATGGAATACTATGTCACTGTCACTGTCCTCCCGTTGTTCATCGATTTGCTCGAGCAGGCCCAGTAACGTCTCCATTGTGACACTTGTTACTGTGTTTGGCATATCGAATATGTCACGGGTATCTTGCCAGGCTTTGCCGTGCGGGAGAGATACTCTTGGGAGCTTGCCAGGCTCTCTGAGAGGGGCGGAGGAATTGAACTCGGGTCGGCCATGTTGGCCGTTTGCAAGACAAACACCCTACCCGCTGTGCTATAGCTCCAGCCTGGAATACTATGTAAGAAAGAACAAAATCATGCAATTCTCAGCAATATGGATGGAACTAGAAGATACCTTGCTGAGCGAAGATAGAAGGAAAAGGACGGATGCAGAATGATCTCTCTTATAGGTGGGACTTAAAGCTCCACAATGAGGTAGCAACCAAGATTCCCAGGCAACATAGTGGGGGAACTGATCCATATCATTGAGCTGGTGCGGGGGGGGGGGGGGAAGGAATGTGAGTTGGGGTGGAGTTTTGGGGGAGGGAGACAGCTACACTGGTGATAGGGGTCATATTGGAATTATGTCCATGAAAAATGTTATTAATCGTATTATAAGTAAAAAACTTAATTAACAAAACAGAGTTAACAGGCATGTAAGAACTAGGTGGGAATCAGCAATGCTGTGATGAATGTTTGGCAATTGAGTCTCGAGGGTAGGAAGAGCCTTTTTGGGGGGGTGGTTGGTGATTTTTGTAGTGTGAATGCTTTAGGCCCTCAGTATTATGTCACTGAACCCCTGAGTTGAGATGTGCCAGTAGCCCCAGAATGTTAGGAGCTGGTGGTTAGGATCAAGCCACAGTCTGATCTCAGTGATCAGAATGTCCAGTGCTGCCCATTGTGTGAGGAGGATCAAAATGACCCCGGGCGTCCAAAACGTGGGGGTGGGTTCAAGGTCAGCCTGCTGAATCACACGGTGAGTGAGACATTTCTGGGGGTTCATATATAGCTTGTTGCCACATTTGTGCTATAACTTGTTGGGGCGTCACCATGCATTCAGTGACTCCAAATGTCATTCCTGGCCCTGGACCTCTTTTGTTTTTTATTTAAAATTTTAAATTGTATTTTCATAAAGTTGTTCACAATAATTGATTACATTCAATATTTCAACACCAATCCCACCACCATTGCACCTTCACCACCACCACCATTATTATTATTATTGTTATAATTATTTTTGCTTTTTGGGTCACACCCAGTGATGCTCAGAGGTTATTCATAACTCTACACTCAGGAACCACTCCTGTCAGTGCTTTGGGGACCTTATGGAATGCGGGAATTGAACCCTGGTCCTCTGCGTGCAAGGCAAACGCCTACCCCCTGTACTATTACTCCAGCCCCCATTATTTTTTGTATTGCTTATTATGAATAGTATGAGACGTCTGTACGGGTCTGTCTCACAGTGATTCAACAAAAAAGAAAAAAAATAGTTTTCGATGTTGTGAGGCCGTGAAAGTGGCCACACCCTCCTGGAATTCTAAAAATTTTAATAATTGGGGTCGGGAGACATCTCTGCAGCGAGCTGCTGGGTTCCGAGATTCATCTCTGAGTCTCTGGATCATGGCCATTAATACACTTAAATGGCAACCAGAGGCATGACAGGCACGTGGGCATGACAGCCAGAACCCCAGAGGGTGGGGAGATGGGAAGGGGCGGTCGAGTCCCGGCTCTTTGAGGCCCAGGCCTTTTTTGGAAGAAGGCACTGCCTTCTCTTTCTGTCCACAGAGGAACAGACTCTTTTTTTTTAAAAAAAAAAACCTTCTGTGTGTCCACACAGAAGTTGTCCATCATGGGGCAGCTAGCAAGGGGCCATCTAGGAGTTCAGGGTGCAGTCTTTGCTGTGGACAGTAGAGATTTACTCAGTCCGATACTGCTTCTGGGGGCTGGGGAGTAGCTCAAAGAGCCAGTGTGCAGGTTCTGGAGGCTCAATTCCCAGCACTGCATGCTTTCCCCCAAGCAGCC